AACCCACACAAATATATTGGCCAGATAATGATGAATTGAAATGTTCTCATTATCACTTTGTTGACAGAGGTTCAGGCCATGGGTATCAAGAAGACCCTCAGTATTTGTCAAACTTTTTAACTGTTAGCAAGAAGATGGCCTTCATCCATAGCCTCACACTGTTGTGGTTACATCACTCGAATTGTCCTTTTAACATCTCCTTGAAATGAGTTATATGGCACTAATAATTATGATGCAACAGTAGTTCTGTGTAGTGTCTAGATTGCATTTCAGGGGTAAAGAAAATGAATGCTTCATTTATTTGTTCATAGAAACAGAAATATAATTTAGTCTCATACCAAAAAAAAGTCTCTTCGCATAGTTATGGTGTTCCATGACTCCATGATTTGTATGGATTGATATCCCCATTTTTTATTGCATTAAAATGTCCAATATGTCTAGGATTTCAATAAATTTTTCGAAGTTAAAAAAACAAATACTGCAAGGAGTAAATTTGTCATTACAACTAATACAGAAGTAGACTAAATAGAAGTCATACCATCCAAAACTGTTACACAAAATTATATATTTGTAGAAAGTACATTCCATTTTATCAATGTCATCGGGTCAGGGCCGGCATGTCTATAAGGCGGCACAAGCGGCAGCCTTAGGACGCCGGGGGGGGGCGCAAAAATCCGAATCAGATTTTTAAACTCACCTCACTCTCCCTACATCTTGCAGCCAGTGGAGTCGGCCGGCCTCTCCTGATGATGTCAGGAGGAGGGGGCATGACTTCCACTGCTCTTCTCCTAGACTCCCCAGCGGAGGAAGTCCCGTCCCCTCATCCTGACATCATCAGGAGTGGCCGACCGACTTCACTGACTGCAGACTCCCAGACTCCAGATCATGTCCCACACCTCCCTGGCCCAAGGTAAGCCTCAGGGAGGGGGGATACACTTTTTTACCCCTCTCTTCAGCCCCTGTACCCCTTCCTCAACCCCTGTCCCCCTACTCAGCCCTGTCCCTCTTCCTCAGCCCCGTCCCCCATCCTAAGTCCCTGTCCCCCTCCTCAGCCCTGTCCTCTTACTCAGCCCATGCCCCCCTGCTTAGCCCCTGTCGCCTTACTCAGTACATCTCCCCCGACTCAGCCCCTGTCCCTCTTCCTCAGCTCCTGTCCCTTTCCTCAACCATCTCCCATTACACAGCCACTGTCCCCCTCCTCAGCACTGTCCCCTTCCTCAGCCCCTGTCCCCCCTCAGCCCATGTCCCCTACTCAGCCCCCTTCCTCAGCCCGACCCCCTCCTCAGCCCTGTCCCTTACTAAACTCCTGTCCTCTTACTTAGCCCCTGTCCCCTCCTCAGGCCCGGCACTCTTCCTCAGCCTCTGTCCCTGTTCCTTAGCCCTTTCCCCTTACACAGCCACTGTCCCCTCCTCAGCCCCCTTTCTCAGCCCATCCCCTCCTCAACCCTGTCCCTTACTAAGCTGATGTCCCTTTCCTGAGCCCCCTTTCTCAGCCTGTCCGCCTCCTCAGCCCTGTCCCTCACTAAGCTCCTGTCCCTTTCCTGAGCCCCCTTTCTCAGCCCGTCCGCCTCCTCAGCCCTGTCCCTTATTAAGCACCTGTCCCTTTCCTGAGCCCTGTCAGGAAAGGGACAGGAGCTTTCTCCGCACCTGTCCCCTTACTCGTCCCCTGTCCCCCCCTCTCAGCCCCTGTCCCCCTGCCTCAGCCCCATGCTCCCAAAACCACAGCCCCAATAACATCCCCACTAATGGCCGTCTCCCCCATTTGCACCGATATCACCCACATCACAGCCCCTTTCCCAAATTGTAGATATCAACCTACTACAGCCCCTAGCCCCCTACTACATCCCCTAACTTTTCATTTACAGCCACTACCAGTGCTATTCCCAAGATTAGGCTCTGGATCCGCCCCTGCACAATTTGCCTGTATCTATATAACTATAGGCCCGTGCATGTATGACTTTGTATGCCTGTGTCTGTATGACAGTGTCTGACTGTCTCTGTGTGCGTCTGTGTGTCTGTGTGTGTATGACATTGTACCTGTAGGTGTAGATTGCATGGCTGTGTGCCTGCATTTCTTTGATTGTGTGCCTGCATATCTCTGTGACTGAGTGCCTGTATGGTTATGTGTTTCTATATATCTATGTCTTTATTGCATGGGAAAAAGACAAAAAACGTGCTGAGGGGAAAGAGTCACAGAAAGGGGCTGGGGGGAAGAAAGGCACGCAAAAAGAATGGGGGGGGAGACACACAAAGGGGATGGGGAAAGATACATAAGGTGGGTTATAAGAGACACACAAGAGTGTGTAAGACATAGCATAGTAAAGGGGGGATAAAATACATTAAAGAGGGTAAGAAAATCAAAAAAGGGGTTACAATACAAACAGGTGAAGATGCATTTTTTGAGGGGGGACGGCAAAATGCATCTTTGCCTGTGTAGCCATATATCCTTGCACCGGCCCTGCATGGGGTTGTACCCAACTTACAAGAAATGGTGAATCCCAGAAATGAATAAGGGCCCAAATTAGCATTATATAGGCTAACAATTGTTCTGATTGGTCCACTTCATCTCTGAGCCTCAAAAATGAATGATAATGGTGGTTACTACGTTAAGGATAGGCATGAAATCACAACATTTGATTATATAAAAGACACTCCAATCAAGCAGGTAGGATTTTGTAGGAAAGAAACAAGCTGTGTGGATTTCAGCGTGAGCGAACCAGAAGAGGGAGACCAGACCAAATTATAGATATGCATGGTTTCCCTGGTCAATTCGTGTGGGCACATGGAGCCAGTGGCGTAAGTACAGAGGTCGCAGGGGTTGCATCTGTGGTAGAACCGCCGGGGACAAACGTTAAGGGGCCCATGCTCTTAGGGCCACCCAATGGAAATTAATTTCCGGGGGGGCCCAGTCAGCGCTGTGGCGCTTTAACAGCCCGACCAAGCCCCCTGTGATGACATCAGAACTGGGAAGAAGTGACAGCCCCGGTCACTCCTCCCAGCTTACACCGGGAGCCGCGCGGGAGGAAGGAGAGGAGGGTGTCAGAGTGGGGACCCTGGACCCCAGGGAAAGTCACCCTCCTGCACCTAAAAGGTAGAAAACAGGAGAGTGACTAAAACATTTTATATATGTGTGTGTTTGTATGTATGTGTGTGTTTGTTTATGTGTGTCTGTATGAATGTTTCTCTGTATGTGTGTATGTGTGTGTGTGCATGTCTGTGTGTCTGTCTCTGTGTGTATGCCTGTCTATGTGTCTGTGTGTGTCTGTATATATGTGTGTGTATGTCATGTGTGTGTATGTAGTGTGTCTGTATTTATTTGTATCTCTGTATATGTGTGTGTGTCTGCATGTGTGGGGGGGGCAACGTATGGGAGGGTTAACGTATGGTCGGGGACCCAGGGCAGTTTTCGCACCAGGGACCCGTGGTTTCTAGTTAGCAGCGAGGCCGCAAATAGTATTTGGCATGCATGGCCTAATGAGGGGAAGAACCCCGGGCTTCAGGATCTGGTAAGTTTGCTAGAATCACAAACCTAGGTCAAATGTATCAATTTTGTTTTTGTTTTTTTCCACACATTTTTTAATTTGGAGAAATACACAGACTTTGTACGTCCCACTATTGCAAACACCACATATTTGTATTCGGCTACTGTTCTTGAGTTCAATGATACCCCACATGTATACAATATACCCTAATCCTGCCTCTAATTCAACCCTTAATGCAGCTTTTATTCCATCCCATAATCCAACCCCTTTTCCTACCCCAATCCAACCCATAATACAACCTCTAATCTTATACATAATCTGTCCCTAATTTCTATTTCTACTCCAACCCGTAATCCTTTCCATAATCCCAATAGTTCCAGTTTTCAAGGGATTAAAGGACCACTATAGGCACCCAGACCACTTCAGCTTAATGAAGTGGTCTGGCTGCCAGGTCCATCTAGGGTTAACCCTGCCTGCTGTAAACATAGCAAACTGCTATGTTTACATATGGGTTAATCCAGCCTCTAGTGGCTGTCTCATTAAGTACTGACATCAGCAGGGGATATCCTAGCTCACACAGTACAGGTGCAGCACACAGTGTTCGGTGCTAGGCAGCTGGCAAAGTCCAGCACTGAACCTGCTGCAGGGGCCAAGCAGGGAGATCCCGCGGGTCTCCCTGAAACTTGGGGACACTGTGACAGACTCAGGGGAGGGCTAAAATAAATTGGTGGTAGTGCAATCACAGCTTAATTGAACACTGCTCATAGCCCTTCTGTCAGACTGCAGCAACTAACCGTGGCCCCAACTGGTAGAAGGGTTCTTGGTATCATTCAATACCTTGGGGTCCCTTCTGACAGTTTTCCTTTTTTTAATATTGGAGGCTGCACAGTGAAAGAAATACCTTTGATCTTGCTCAGCTATAGTATTTAAAGGGTTTCTCCAACCCTTTTTGAAGGTATTATTCTATATGACCCCCCCTAAAATACACGCTGAACAAACCTAAAATAAGTTTTACTTACCTAAATTCAGGTGGGTGCACTTCTGTCTGATGTCAAGGGAGCCATGCCAAGGTCCAATCAAAGGATTTTTTTTATTTTTTTTATTTATAGTTTTGAAGCGGTGCATGTTACATCAGGTATCTCTTTGACATTTGTTATGGTTGATATCACATAGTATGTCACATATGCAGTTGTTTGTCATAGTAATTGCATACAAGATTCGTCAAAACAGTTTCCATTGTAAACAGCTACAATGCATGACCTTACGTGGCCCTACCTCGAGTAGGATGTCAGTTCGTTGAAACCGGTGCACCTTTTTTCTGAATATATGTATCATAACATAATAAGTATAGTAGTAACATAATAATGTAACAGTAACATAATAATGTAACATAATGGAGGTAGAGAGGGGGAAGGTAAGGAGGGGGGAAGGAAGGGGGTATTGTCAAGGTATGCAGTTACTCATTGCCTATGCTAGTCAACTTCTATGTGTGTATTGCTATAGGAGTTGGCTTACGATTCACTCATGTTTATTACTGTTTGGGGGTGACTCGACTATGTATGTATCCCACATCTCCCAGGCCGCTACCCAAAATTTTTTTGCAGGTCTCGTTTTCCTGGCTATGGTTTTATACCGTTTGGTTGATTCTATGATTTTGATGCATGCTGACAGTTGCGGGGTGTGTACCGACAACCAGTTCCTACCTATTAGTTGTAGCGCCGCTATCAGGATATGGTACGTGAGATATTTAACAGATTTTACTATGTTGGGAGGGAACAGTTGTAGTAGGTATAGTACAGGCTGAGGCGGCATAACTACCTTTGTGGTGGTTTTTATCAGTTTGGAGATTTGTTCCCAAAACAGTACAATTTTTGGGCATGACCACCAGATGTGGTATGTGGTTCCTGGTTGGTCCATACATCTCCAAAATTTACCTGTGGACTGGGTGTTTATGTGTTTTAACTTGGTTGGGACAATGTGCCATCGATATATTATCTTCCTGGATATTTCTACGTGTGAGGCACACATCGTTAAATGTTTATTAGCTGAGAATATGTGGAGCCACTGTGTGTCGGTTAGTTTCATATTTAGGTCTAGTTCCCAGGCTGCGATAAACGAGGGTTTTGTGAGATATGCCTTGCGGATGATTTCGTGGTATAATTGAGACATAGGTTTGGTTGGCGGTTTGGTTTGCAGACACATTTGTTCAGCAGTGGACAGTTGCATGGATTGTTCAGGTTGGGCCTTTGGGGGACGGTATTTGTGGAACCATGATTTTATCTGCATGTGAGAAAAAAGTAGTGACTGCGGTACTTGATATTCGGTTTGTAGGCGCACAAACGAGATCAGGTTGCCTTTATCGAGTAACTGGTGGAGGTATGTCACGCCATGGGAGGTCCACATTTTTGCATTAAAGTAGGGTATGAGTGTTGTAAGGGCCTGTAGCTTCATAGCCGGCGACGGGTGCGCTGACGGCCAGGATTTGGTTTGGTGTTTATCCCATATGGACAAGGATAACCTAGTTGTTGGTAGCATAGTTTTGTATTTGGGTCTGTGGGAGTGCGGTATCCATGCCAGTGTGGTTATATCGTGTCCTTCTGTGTAAGTGGACTCAATGACGAGCCATTCTGGCCGGGGGTCCTGATGGAATGCTGTGATTAGTGGGCTGAGAATTGATGCCGAGTAATCCGCGTTTAGGTGTGGGATCCCCAGACCCCCTTGCCTGAAGGGTTTGTGTAGCGCGGATGCCGCCACCCTCGCTTTTTTCTTGTTCCATATGAATGTGTTTAGGAGGGTCTGTGTTTCCCGGAGGAAAGTGTGTGGGAGTTGGATGTGTAACGTACGGAATAGGTACTGGAGTTTGGGTAAAAGTATAATTTTTGTCGCTGCAATTCGTCCCAGCCAGGAGACATACTTGCCTGTCCATCCCATGATTTGACCTTTCAGTTTGTTCACTAGTTTGGTGTAGTTTGCCTGAAGCATGGCCTGCGATGTGGCTGTAAATGCAACTCCTAAAAAAGTTAGATGGTCTGTTCGCCAGTCGTATGCGTGGGCCTTTTTTAATTCTTGCAAAGTGCGGGATGATATGTGCATCCCCATTGCTTGCGTTTTTGAAATATTAAGTTTGTAGTATGAGCATGCACTGTAATCGGCTAGGATGTCGTGTAGATGTGGGAGTGATGTATGTGGTGATTCTATGGATAGCATGATGAGCCCTGCCTCCCCCTGACAATCAAAGGATTTTAACAGTGAAGCCTTTGATTGGATTATTTAAAGGGATTAGTGTCATGTGCGCACTCAGAGCCCACAAGGGGAGGTTGCAAGGGAGGGAGGGAATGGAGGAGCAGGGAGGGCAGGGCAAAGCTTAAAAAATAGTAGATGGGAATGAGAGGAAGGAGGGATGGAGGGAGGGAACATAAGATCTTCTCCCATGCCTGAATGTCGTCAGGGTGCAGTGCGCACTGCCGACAAACGCAATTTATGCACAGAATTGACATAAGCAGAGTTCTCGGCTGCCTATGTCCCGTGTGCTTGGGGTGCAACTTGCCCCCAGCACACAATTAAAAATATCTCTGAATGTGCAGTGGTAGACTCCTACCACTATGACCACTTCAAAAAAACAGAAGTGGTCATGATTGTTGAAGTAACCCTGTAAAGAGGCGCTGGTTATAGCTCAACTGTCAGTCTTTGGCCACTAACTGTGGACCAAGCTGACCGCAGGGATCCTTACATATTGAAAGATACATGGGGGTCCTTGGTACCAGCAGGGATTACATTTATTTTGGTTTGATTCTGAATTTTATGTCAAGACAGGAGGCTTCATATTTTTTTTTTTTTTTTTTTTTTTTTTTTTTTTTTTTTTTTTTTTTTTTTTTATGGTTATTAGTTTTCCATTATATATGTGTGGCTAAAAACAAACAATATATCATGTGTCAACTTCTTATATTATTTATACTGATATGAATTGCAACATTGTACATAGACTTAAGGGTTAACGTGATACTAATGAAGACAGACAGAACAAGTATAAAAAGAAGATTGCAGACTCCATGATGCCATCCTCTGATGAAGTGATCAAGAATCACGAAACTAGTAAGGCGGCATCTGCAAACCAATACACATCGATCCCGAGAGTGAGCACCTCTGACACGCATCCTGAGCCGCAGTGGAACGCACGCGGCTAGAAACCAGCAGCATACAGCACGAGGAAAATCCAATTCACTTCTGTCCGGCCGGCAAGAAAGTGATCTTTTGGGCTCGAGGTCTGTTAAACCTGGTACTGGTGCTATCTTTTTTGTAACTCATGTTTGGGACCCCCTTTTTTATCAATAGCTACATGTGTGTGTAGCATTTTTTTATCATTCAATAAACTTTAAAAAGTATCTGTCTGCTGCAGTGGATTTTAACCCTTGGAGGGGCTTGATTCTAACTTTTTACACATATTTACTAGCCATATATATTGGATTCATAACTTATTGGAACTTATATTAGATTAATTTCAGCAGTCCATAGACTCTGCCTTCCTTATCTAATAGGTGGTGATGACAGGACCAGCTGATACATTTGTATTCGAATAAGAGAGCAAACAGTAACATTCATTTATTGTGAAGTGCTCTACACATTTCCATTTCCACTAAATCCTATGTATTTTTAATTGATTTTTTCAATTAGTGTGTTTTATTCATATTTGCTGTACTTTCTTTACTGTAACTCCCAGCGGCAAAGAAACAGTTAACAGTAAGTAAACAATTTATCCAGAGTCTACAATACAGTATGTCCAGTCATCAGGCTCCTCCCAGCTCCTCTTTCTTTGCTGCTTAGCCTCCCAGTTGAGTCTATTCCAATAACAGCATGTAATCAGTTTCTAAAAATATATATATTAACATGGTTTTATTTATTTCTACTTCCCCCAACATAACTATATTGCTTCATAGTTCATTCTGTAATTAAATAAACTATCAGGTTGTTTTTCCAACTACCCTTAAACCCAACTATGTTTGAACCACTGTCTCTTTAAATAAACTACCACCGTCTGCAACTTCTGTCACATCCGAAACATATCGGATTACTGACAGAGCTGCGTCGGTAACCCAATCGCGGCTTCTGGCCGCTTGTCATCCACGGGCGGTATCACCGCCTGTATTGCCTCGTTCGTTTCCCTACCGTCACCATAGCGACGGGTCCATCCTCCTGCGGCTATTTCCTTCCCCCTGCATTGCGCAGGCTTTTTCCTGCGCTTCTTCTCTGCCAACAATGTCAGTTGCAGCTAGGTGATCTCCACGGCTCTCCAGCGCATATTTCTGGTTAGTCAGGTAAGTTACATAAAAAACCAATACATGTAATGCATACATCTAATTAAACAGCACTTAGCTGGTACATTTCTTTTATTAAAGTGTTTTAACTTTGTTTTACTTTCAGATTACCATCTAAACTCTAAAAATACTTGCATAAGAGGGTGACCCCCTCTATCCTAAATAATATTGTCTCATTACAGAGGGTGACCCCCTCATTAATCTGTACTACTCTGATTATTTCTACCGCATTTTATTTGTGGGTGACTCCACGCTCAATTGGTGAGTGACACCACTCTTGATACAACGCTTTGCGTTACTGTGCCAAAAACAAGTCCACCGCCTATTGAATTATTTATTATAAAAAAATTTTTAAAAAATAATAATTTATTATATATTTTATATATTACGTGTGGTGACCTAACTTTACCGCAATTATGTCCGATTTGCCTGAACCAGCAGTCCCTGCGGAGCTCAAAGCTTGGCTGTATAACACCATTGCGGACTCTATTCCAAAAGCCTTAGCAGCTTTCCACGACCAGTCAAAATCTACCTCTAGAGCTCCTATTGTGCATTTGTCAGAATCGAAAGAGTCAAAAGGCTCAGACCATGACGAAAACCTCCGCAAACGCCCCAGGAAGGGCGATAGTGCTACCGCTGGTAAAGGCAAAGCACCGGCTAAAATGCCTAGATTATCCATTCCAGATACTCGTGATAATAACTCCAATTATAACCTGGACCCATTAGAGGGTTCCACCTCCAACCTGCAACTTGAAGTGATTGACGAATACTGTGCAGGGTATTCGGACGAGGATTTTCCCTCTCACGAACTAAATGAACCCCTCTCTGACTCTAACCCCATTTCTGAGGATATTTTACTGGATACCCTTGGCCGTCCCTTGTTCGACCCTAGTTACATCAAATACCCACGGTCGACTGAGTGGACCCCCCCAGACCACCTTGCTAAATTCTGCAGGATGTGGCTGCATAAGCCTTTGGAAAAGGAAGTGAGAGCTAAGTTAAGAGCAGAAGGCCCACAACCTTTTATCCCAGAAAATGTAGCTGTTACCCCAGAATTTGATCTATTGCTCGTCACCTTCCTATACAAATCCGGAAAAGATCCCCGTAAGGGTTGGAACAAGGCCTGAAGGCAACTCAAGATAATATGATGGATATGGCGGGACCGCTTATCCAAATATTCAGTATTGCGGATGAGGCTATGGCTAGTGGCACTTTAGATGCGCACATGGTGCGTGAATGGGCACAAAGGGCATTATCCATTTCAACCGAAAGGCGGAAAGCCGCCCTATACAAAATTGACTCAATGCTCGCCGAAATAGGCACTAAAGAGCTTGGCCCTGAGGCACAAGGCATGCTTTTTGGAGATAAATTTATTAAGGAGTTAAGTAAACACTTTGCAGTGTTTACAAGGCTTACCAAAGCGCATTCCTCCTTACGCAAGGTGTTAAGGACCCAACGTTTTTCCGGGAGAGCCAGCCATTACAGAGGCCGGTCGGCTGGCAGAGCTGCCTTTGCAGGCTACAGGCCTCAACCTTCTGAACACTGGAACTCGGGCAATACTCGTTTCCACCACAAACACTTCCCATCTCGTGGCTCTATTAGAGGATGTGGATCTGCTTCCCTCTGCGGTCGCACTCCTACAGGTAATGGACTCATTTTTCTCATATACCTATAGCAGGCCGATTAATCCATTTTTCCCAACAGTGGTCTCGACTCACACAGGACCCGTGGATCCTTCAGACCGTGTCTGGCTTCCACCTAGAATTCACAGGGAACCCAGTTCAAAGATCTTTACCTACCCCCCTCAGAATGTCTTAAATAGACGACATGTCCCTTCAGGTCAAACTCGACGACCTAATCACCAAGGGTGCCATCGAACAATCCCTCAGCCCACGAGGTTTCGTGAGCAACATGTCTCTGGTCAAGAAAAAGTCGTGAGACTTCCGACCAGTCATCAATTTAAGAGAGCTGAACAAATTCATCAAATACAGACATTTCAAGATGGAAGGCATCTGTAGCGGAGAGCTGGTCTTTCACAGGTTAACTCCACTAAAGATCCCAGTGAGGCTCCGGAACAAGTAATAAAATACCATAGAATAATAATCACAGCAAGCAAGGTAATCAACGAATATCCCCATACAGATCCCAATGGCTGGACGACACACAGCATCAGGAGCAGAACTGAACTTTTAATCACACAACCTTCTTTTAAAGTTTTCTCCCGTGCAAGGGAGGGATTCACAGTAATTATTACAGTAGCCAATAGTGTAACAGTTACCTCCCACACATCTCCTCCCCTCAGTGTGACACATAATCCCATTAAACATACTGTAGTTTTCCCCGATTTTTGGATGTACCCCAAAACAGGCACATAGACTGATATACCCTCTTGTAGCCCAGATCTGGGTGAACAACATATTCAAAATTCACCCAGATTGGACCAGGGGTTCAGGAGTGAAATTTGACCGACCGCACACGAGGTAGTATCCGAAAAAGGCTCCATGTGTTTTGGCCCTGCGGTTGGTCTCCATTCGGTAGTTAAAACACACAGAAATACTTGCCATCCACAGCTAATCTCATATTCGTATGTATTCCCTTGTTCGGTACATTTATT